ATATAGTCTCTTTCAACATCTCAGAGGGCTTTTTTTCAGATATTTAAAGGCTGATCCTGAACTTTATTTTTAAATGGATAGAACCCTAAAAAGGGGAGACAAGCTTGAAAATGAAGAACAACTTCGGCAGACTTCCATCTCTCCATATCAAAAGCTCTAGTATTGCCTTAAGTGTGGACGTACAGATAATAGAATAGAATTGAGAGTGCAGAAATAAACCCTCATATGATCAGCCGACTTTTCAACAGTGTTGCCAGAATAATTCAGTGTGGGAAGGGACAGTCTTTTCATCAAATGATATGTGAACAAGTAGATATTTTCACACAAAAGAAAGAGATTATATTGCTTGTATTCAAAATAGCTGTAGATGAATCATGGAATTAAATGTAAGACTAAAACTGTAAAACTCTTAAGAAGAAAACATTGAAATTTATTTTGTGGGGCTGGGGATTTAGCTCAGCGGCAAAAGCGCCTGCCTGGCATGCGCAAGGTCGTGAGTTCGGTTCCCGGCACCGGAGAAAAACCAAAAAAAAAAAAAAGAAATTTATTTTGTGATTCTGGTGTAGATAATGATTTTGTAGATGCAAACCCAAAAGCACAAGTGACAAAAGGAGAAAACATACGTAGATATTTACTAGAATTAAAAGCTTTTGTGATACAATTGATTGCATCTAGAAAATATAAAGGCAGCTTATGGAGTGTGAGAAATACTTGCAAGTTGTATATTCATATCTATAATATGTAAAACATCTTATATTTCAATACTAAAAGAACAATGGTTAAAAATTCTGTACATTATAGTAGTTACTTTTCTGTTGCTGGAACCAAATACCCAGGACCCATCCATCATTTAAAGAGGGAGAGGTATAATTTGACTCCTTTTTAGAGGTTCCGGCCAAGATTGACTGGCCTGATTGTGGAAACAACATGGCTGAAGGGCTGGTGGAGCAAAGCTGCATACCTTGTGTTGGCCTGGATGCAGGGTACAGGGAAAAGCACGAGGGAGAGAGATACCCTTCAAAGGCTTACCCCAGTGACCCTTATCCTAACACCATGTGCAATGGATTAATCCACTTTCAGTAAAACACCCCTCCCCCATGATACTGTCATTTTTCCAGGAGTCGTAATCTAGTCAAGTTGACAGTTAAGATGAACTGGCACACAGAGAATCTGAATACACATTTCTCCAAAGAAGAAATACTGATTGCCAATGAACACATCAAAGGATGCTCACCATCATCAGCCATTAGGGATATGCAAATGCAACCACAGTGAAATACCATTTCATGCACTCTAGGATTGCTAAAGTGAAAAAGACAGCAGATACTTTGAGGACTTGGAGAAATTTGAATCATAACACCCCTGATGGGAATGTAATGCACATGGCCAGAGGACTCCCACAACTACACAATGAGGCGTCCACTTTGATAACAGTTTGGCACTTCCTGAAAAAGTCAAATATAGAGCTACCATGTTACCTCACAATTCTGCTTCTAAGTATGTACTCACAAGAAAAAGCTCATTTACAGTAACTTGTAAATGAAGGTTGATAGCAGAAATAATCACTATAACTGAAAAGTGGAAACAAAGCAAATGTCCATCAATTAGTGATTGGATACATAAAATGTGATCTATCCATACCGGGGAATATTTTTTGGTCATAAAAATGAACAAAGTATTGATACTTGATATAATGTGGATGAACCTTGCAAACATTACACCAAGAAGACAGTAACGAAGACCACAAATTGTGTGATTCTATTTATATGAAAAGTTCAGAATAGATAAGTTCTGCAGCACAGAATGTATATTAATGATGTTGTGGGTGTGAATGGAAGCTGAACAGTGAACACTAAACTTTATGAAAATGTTGTAATATTAGACTGGGGATGGTTACACAAATAATTCTGAATTATTATCCATGTAGTAAAACTGCTGAATTATGCACTTCGGGTAAGTTGTATAGTATGTGAATTGTATCTCAGTAAGTTATGAAATCAGTGCATGCTTATTGTTGAATGGTAGGAAAGTGCCAAAGAATCATCAAAAGGAACAAATAATTTAATGATCTCTTACATACCCAGAGCTAACATTTTTCTGTATATTCTTTCTTGCTCATTGCATACAGAGCAATCCCTTTTGGAGAGAAGGTGTATCAGTTCACAGTTACTTGTACAAAATTCAGTTTCCTGCTTTTATTCATTAAATTGAGAAACTTCGGGAACCTTTGACTTAATCATTGCTTATTTATACATTCTCCTATTGCTGGATTTTAGGCTGCTTTGAGTTTACAGGTAGTTTTATACTTTTAGTTCATGTATATGTAATTATCATTCATCTTCATGTGTATATTTTATATGAATTTTGGATATTTCTTTAGGTACGTATCTTAGAAGCTCCGTAATTTCCTGAAACTGGCGTAAAAAATTACCACAAATTGAATGGCTTAAGACAGCAGAAATTTGGTCTCTGACCATCTTGGAAGCTCAAAGTCTGAAATGAAGATGTCTACATGGTTGATTCCATCTGGAGATTCTGAGGAAGAGTCTATTCCGTGCCTCTGTTCTCGCTTCTGCTTCCTGGCAGCCATCCTTGGTGTTCCCTGGCTTATCCACATAGCACTCCACTCTCCGTCTCTGCCCCACAGCTCTGTCTGTGCATCTTCTCACCGCTGCTTTAGGAAGGACCGCCATCATTGGATTTAGAGTCTGTCTTAATGTAGGATGATTTCATCTTGAGATTCTGAATGTCACTAGACTTGCAAATACCTTTCTCAAATAAAGTCACATGCACAAGTGTGGAGTGGACTTATTGTTTGGAATCTACCTTTCAGCTTCGCTACAAGGAGCAGCAGCATTTGGGAGAGGGTGTAGCTGTGGGAGTCATCTGGCCCATGTGCAATTAAAATGGGGCTTTAGTGTACGCAGGGAATTAAAAACAGTACAAAACTGCCTAAAAGTTGTCCTGCTTTTTGTTATAGTCATGCACTGGCAGTTCTGATATCAATGACGAAGTACTCCTTCTGGCGTCAGTGATCCCCCTGTCCCACCGCCATGGTCTCCACACTTGGGAGCAAGATTAGTGGGTAAAATAACACAAATCTTTCCTATTCTCGAGAGAGACATTTTCAACTTGCTGTCCATTGAGCAGAAATATATATTCCTACCAGCTTTAAAGATGATAATAAAAACATACCAATCTAAATAAATCTCCCAGTTTGCCCTAATTTTTGCTTTTTCTAGAGCTGACCATGTTAAATCTTCCATTATTTACTTGTAATCTACTTTGACAAAATTTAAAAATATGTACGTAAACACTTCTGATTCGGGTGTGTTTTCTTATTGGTTTGTAGTTACTCTATGTAACAAAAGCATGAGCCATTTACGTTATTGCATATATTTGCCAATTTCTTTTTACTTTTTACAGATTATAATAACCGATTATTTTAGTTTTGTATCAACTTTTCTTTACAGTCCTGTGAATTGAATACCAGTGTTTACTTGTTTTTCTCCAGAAAAGGAAAAAGTTGACCACTCTATTTCATGAGGATGGAGACAGCCTGTTTCAAACAGTAATAACCCTTTGAAAAGTTTCTGTGAACAGGACGCTGAATGTTTTCAAAGGAAAGTTTAGGAAAGATTTTTTCCCCATATAATGGAGGAGACATCACCTACAAAGCCATTGTCGCAAGCGCTATGTCAGAAGACCGAGCACCATCTGTTCCCTGGCCCTGTTTTTACAGCAAAAATCAGAAGCTCAGCAGTTTTGGATGAGTGTCTGAGACGAGGCAAAAATGTAGATCTTTGACCTCTTACTTCAGTCTCTTGTAAAGGCCAAGCTTACATTTTTCACTGTTAAATATTTTAGCTAAATCCTTGAAGTAATTCCTCCTCCTCTTCCTCCTCCTCCTCTTTTTCTTCCTCTTCTTCTTCTTTGCATTTACTTGTATGTTAGCCTTATTATAAAGAGCATTTCCTTATTACAATGCATGTTAATTGTGGGAAAATGAAGAAAATACAGGTAAATTCTTAAAGAAGATAATTGAAGACAGTTCGCGTTCCACCAATCTCTGGGGCCTTTTAACATTTCATGTATCCTTCATCACTATTCTTTTTGTCTCTTTTCTCTGTGGCTGTATATGTGCATATGTGATTTTACAATACTGTATATTTGCTTTATAATGTTTTATAAAACCAAATAGATTTGTTGTGGTGTGGGTATATTCTACTTCATTTAATGACTTCTCCCTTGTTATATTCATTTTTAATTTGTTGCTTTTATGTTGTAATTATAAATACTGTGAATAGCCTTGAAAATGTTTAATTGTACAGTTCTTATTTGTATATCAGGATGGTTTGGCTTAAGCAGTTTTTTCACGAGGACCTCACTGGAAAGCATAATGGTTAAAATTGTATTCTGAAACAGATTAAATATATATAAAAGCAGAGAGAATTTTATAAACACCTCTACTTATCCATCCCCGGACTCATTTTTAACTTGTGGATTTAATTTGACCCCTAAAAATAGTATATTCAATGAGTTTGGATTCAGACAAAACTCTCTCTTTCACTGTGTACTTCATACCTGCTGAGCGCTGGTCCTGCGTTACCTTTTTCTATAGCATATTTTCTCCTTATTTTTCATGTCTACTAAAAAGGCGGTTCTAATTAAAGATAGAGAAGGTGAGATCTGAATGGATTACGATGCACCCAGTTCATTAAGTGTAGAACCTGGCTTCCGACGAGGGTGACCATCTCACTCCAGTTTGCTTCATACTGTCTTCACTTCCACACCAGAAAGTCACCTCTCCACCAGAAGCCCTCATCACCAGCATCACAGGACAGTTGCCCCCTCAGATCTGCACGCAGGGCTTGGGATCACTTTCCCGCAGAGCAGTGTCTGGGAGACAGTGAAGAAACGATTATTCCTTGGGGAATGTCGGTCATCCTTGGTTGTGGAAGTGTCAAACTCCGCATGACACAAGCTGTTTTCTTCTCCAGGGCTCTCCACGTGCTTGTGTGCAATGCTGCTGTTTTTGGTCTTCCCTGGAGCCTCACGAAAGACGGCCTGGAGACCACCTTCCAGGTGAACCACCTGGGCCACTTCTACCTGGTCCAGCTCCTGCAGGATGTTCTGTGCCACTCGGCCCCTGCCCGTGTCGTCCTTGTCTCCTCTGAGTCCCATCGGTGAGTTTGAACTTAATGGTTTTCACCAATGCATCATCTCCAGCTCCCCGAGGGCTCTGTTGCCGGAGAGATTTCTGATTAGGCATACAGTACTCTAAGAAGCCCGAGTGTATACAACCTGCTTCATTTTTCTTGGTCTTTTTTTGCGTGTGTGATTGTGGGCGATTGTTTGGGGAGACTGTCTCTAGCAATGTGTGGTGTTTCTACAACTATACTTCAAGCTCCTCATTGATTTTGCTTAGGGATGGAATAATAATTGATTAATTCTGAATGGCATGACCTTTATTGATTTGTAATTCAACAACTTCAACATCTTACCAAGAAGAATGTGCAGTTATTCTAGCAGGAGAAACAATGCAATTAAAGACTGTGAGATGAAATCCAATTGTTTTATAATGAGAAATTAGGGAATTCAATGCAGGCATTAGCTGTGTAATTGTGGAAAGGGAAGTACTGTAGTTAGAACATATTAGAAATCTGGCCATGCCTCTTTTGGTTAAAATTCCAATTAAAACATCAGATGGCACTTCTCTTCTATTACCATTAGGAGAATATTCAATTGACTAAAAAGACATTTGAAAATTTTGTCGTATTTTCAGCATATTTGTTTCTGGAGTTGGATAAACAACTATTTGTCTAAAGAGAAGCACTCAGAAAAGACAAAGGACTTGCCGGGTGGGTAAGGCTGGTTTTAAGCCTTGTTTGGGAGATGTCTTTTCCCCATTTCCTTGATGTGGGCATTGGGAGAAGCTTTCTCTCTGTAGCAGAGTAGCTGGAAATAAAATATTGCGCACAGACCTATTTTTCCCCCTTCTTCTCCGTCTTAAGTCCTGAAATGTTTTAGTGACCCAGAATAAAGCTTATTTTTTTAATCATACTTCTATAAAAGGTAACCCTCTCGACTTGGAAGAGAGAGACCAGCCAAGGGTTAGCTTGAACCCTTTATCACTCCCGAACACAGGGGCTTACGGTATAAGTGACACACTACAGATAGATTTACTTTTACCATTTTAAATTTATGATGGCTGAAATGAAAGGAAAATGCCAGTAATAATCCTCCCCCGTGAGAAAAGACATGAATCACCTAGTAATTAGGTGGTAACAGAATCTGGACAGCCTTATCTTTGCAAATCACACCAGGTTTGTGAAAGAAAGTGGAGTGGCCTGCTAAGGAGCTGGGGAGGCTACCATGGGGGCAGGCGGGAGAGAGAGCTCTAGAAATAAATCTGCCAGGCCCAATCGTTTACCAGATGTGGAGGGCACCACGGGATATGTTTAAATGAGCTGGTATTTAATGGGGGATTATGTCGAATTGTCAGCTGCTCGCTTCCCTTTGTAAATCTGTATCTCAAATGCTGTTTCATGTGACATCTTTGTTCTCTCCTTGACTACCGCGTAATTCATGCCTACCTTGGAGATTGGAATCTTAATTTCATTTAAAAGAGGAATTTGGAAAGCAGTGCCTTGGCCTCCTGAATTAGATCCATTTTAGTTTATAGCCAAGGCTTTCCTGAAGTGTGTGGTCAGGCCCACTTCGTCTGAGGGCTGGCTCTGGTTTTCCGTTTCCTAGTTATCCTTCACACGTTATCAAGGGGTGTTTCTACAAAATGCTAATTCCCTCAAGCTGGCTGGTTTATTACACTTGCTGTATGCCTTAGCCCCTGAAAGTGAGCTGTATACCGGGGGCAGCTCACAACTCAAGGACCCAGAGTCCTAAACCAAGTTGTAAAATGCAAGTGTTGATATCTAATTACCCCCATAAACCTTGGTGGAATCTCTTTGTTGGAGTCAAGACCCCCTGTTAGGGGAAAAATAAAGTCCTGTGTTTGCAGAAAATGTTATTCTAGACTGTCCCTAGGCAAAATATTTCTTAGCCTCCCCGTGTCTTCAGTGTGTTTTAGTTACTTATCTGCAGTCTAAGCAAGTGAATTGAGTTTCGGCGTATCTAAAATATATCATATTGAAATGAGAATTTGATTTGCTTGCTGTGAAAATTTTTCAAATAACAATTAAAACAAACCAAAAGAGCAGAACACACGCTGAACAGCTCTGAATTGCTGTGTTGAGCGCCAAACTGCTACACAGACACACGGATACACACACACACACACACACACACAATTACACGTGTAATCGCACATGCACATTCCTATTCATACATGAAATTTCCCATGCAAATTTAATATTATTCTTTAAATATGCTAGCTTTTGTCTATATAGAATCCATCCTAATTATTTTAGTTTGGGAACTTAAGACTTGCTCAGTTTAAAACAAAATGAAAACTAAAATGTATGGAAATGTACAATAGGCAGACTCTCACAAAGCAAGTGCTCATGTCCAGAGAGGAAATACGATATTTTAGTGTACCGACAAAGCATGATTCTATTAAGACCTTGTTGTTTGGCTTTATCAGTTTCTCAACTTGAAGATACAGCAGGCAGCCTTTGAAGAGTTGTTGATTGCCTCTTGAGCAGAGAGGTGACCTGGTCACTTTTCCGGAAGGCCTGCCTCAGCTCCAGGGGACTCGAAACGTGCCCAATCTGAGTAGCCCCTGGAAGACTGTCCACAGGAGCTCATCTGACCCTGACAGTGGGTTTCTGGCCTGATTCTACCTGTGTTTCCCAGTTATGTGACACTTCTGTATCCGCCTTTAAAAGCAAAAGCAAGGGACTTATTGTGGACATCAGAAGATGCAGCATGAAAATATTATTGTAGAACTTCGAGGATTTGCACCTGGTGTTAAATTTTGCCTTTCAAGACCCAAAGCAAGACTTTGTAATAAAGGAAACTTCCCCTTGGTTTGGGATTCCAACCCGACCTTGGAGGGGCAGCATCTTTATCAAACTTTAGGAATGATATCCCAGACTGGCTGCTTGATTTTCATAGAAATGTGTGTTTGTATCTGCTTTGCATAGTGTCTTTCAGATTGTTCCTCACCACCACCACCAAAATCAGTGTCACATGTATTCAGGGAGTTAGGAGAGCCTCCTGGAAGAAGCAGTCCCTGAGCTAGGTTTGCCTACATGACTGTGGCAGAAAGAGCTTCTGTCAGTGGTGAATGAGGGAAAGATACAGGGTGGGAGCAAAGGGTGTTACAGTAACCTCAGATCTTTTAGGTATTGTCTAAACCCTGGATGTTCCTTTCCACATGAGGAGGTAAGATTTCCAATAGCCCCATCTTTGACAGCTGTTGTGTAGCACCTTATTACGCTGTTGAAGTAAAGGTGAGAAATAACATAAATTCCCTGTACAAGCACATTTTTAATTGAATATGATACCAGAACTGTAATACAAAGGAAATGTAAATGTGAAAAGAAACGTTGTTTTCACATGGAAGTGCTTGGGCAGGACTGCAGGGAAGATGATCGGATGCATGTGTGTGTGAGTAAATCATCTCCCGTGGAACACTCACACATACGCCGACAACAGGTGTGGGCGCGGCTGGCTCCAGGGCCACTGGCAGCAAGTCCAGCTTCACACTCCGGAAAATCCCGCAGCGCCCGAGAGTGCATTCACTCCTCGCTTGCAGAGTGGTTGCAGAGTCACTGGAGTTATGGAAGTTCGGTGGATGGTAGAAGGTCCCAGTCAGGCTGGAGGCTCGGGTAATTAAACTCAGGCTTTCCATTTGTGCAGTTGTCCAGTGGGAGAGTCCTCCAGGGGTCAGACTCCGCTGGCATTGCAAGACACCAGCCGTCCTGGCCCTCAGCAATCTTTACTTCCAGCACAAAAAGGGCTCCATAAATTTTCAAATTTCCTGCTGATCTCCACTGCCTTAGACAGTTAAGCTCAGTTTAGGCCCTTACTGTGGTTTGGGCAGTTGCAAACAGGCAGACTACGATTAGTGTCGCGGTCTCATTGCTGTGTCCTTGGTGACAACCCCGACCAACAGCTCTGCTGGTGACTTCAGAGCCGCAATGTCATTTAACACCAGCAATTTGATGTCACTAGCTGCTTCCCAGAGAGGGGACATTTAATTATTTCATGTCCATTAAAGCACAAATTTCATCTGCGCCTATGATACTTTTCTTGTTTTTAGCCCAACCTGAGCTGCTTCTCTAAAGGAACAGGAAGATGGTTCCCCAAGTTTCATTGTAGCATTTGCTTTTTGTTTTCCCTAGCATTTTTCTGGAATAGACTCATTATGTTCTCTTCTCACCCAGTGCCCAGAATTAATTGAGTGACGCAAAATCTGAGATGTCCTTAAACAAAGATCAGAACATCTAGAAAATTCCTTTTTGTTTGTTATGATTCAAATATTTTTTTAGGATTGTGACTACTTTGTTTTATTATTTTTTTTTTTTTAAGAAAGAAAGGAAGAAAGAAAGGAAAGGAAACAAACAGCTGGTGTTTAACGACTCCGTCAGACCCAATTATAAAACATCAACTACTTACTTTGATTTGTGCGTCTCCATGCCACGGGTGTACTTAAAAACATGACGCCCTGCCAGCTCTCGTTTTGGCTTGTTTACATTTCTCTTTTCAACGTATAAGACTATTGATGGCACCTCACCAAGGTCATAACCCCTTTATAATCATTAATTTTTAATCTGAAAAGGAGTGGTGGAAGCAGCACGACTCATCTGTATTTACTTGTGAGCTCAAATGAAAACATACAGGACTCAAGCATGGGCTAAAATAATCCAGGAAAGCGCCGCCAAAGGTTAGCAATGTGATAGCGTTCTGTTTCCAAAAGCAGCAGCCCTTTATTTAAGATACTTTCCCATTTAATTTAATTATCCTTGAACTTCCTGTTGAGGGTTTTGAAAAATATATGTGAGGGGTATGAGGGAGCTCAACATGTTTGGTAAAGGCTGTTGTATGAGTGTGGGCTTAGACCAGGTCCATGTTTGGATCCAGTTGTTTGGCCTGGTTAAGTCACCATGGTCCGTTTTTAAAGGCACGATTTTGGTATGTGCGGGGTTGAGTTTTCAGCAGTGTCTCCATTGCTTCTTCAGATCTGTGATAAAATTTAAAAAGCCACATGAGAAGTCAGAGCTTAGTTGCTTCACGTCCTATTTCTTGTTTTTCAGATTTACAGATATTAACGATACCTCGGGAAACCTTGACTTTAGCCGCTTGTCTCCGTCACAAAACGACTACTGGGCCATGCTAGCCTACAACAGGTCCAAGCTCTGCAACATCCTGTTCTCCAACGAGCTGCACCGCCGCCTCTCCCCACGCGGGGTCACATCCAACGCCGTGCACCCGGGGAACGTGATGTACTCCTCCATTCACCGCAGCTGGTGGCTGTGGACGCTGCTGTTCACCTTGGCGAGGCCCTTCACCAAGTCCATGGTAAGGGGATGGCTTCTGGCGCCGTGCACACCTTCAGCGCACCTCTCAGGAGGGCCTCGGGGACCTCCACCATGTGTGGCTACGTCCTGCCCTCCAGGCTTGTCACTCGGAGTCTGGTCTCCCTGACCACATAGTCAGGCCTGTCCAAGCCTTGGAGAAAGGCTCTTGAGCACACTTGCATCAGCTGTAGATTGAGTCAGTTCCTCTAAAGAGGTCTTGGAGGGCTGGATAGGAGATGCGGTTTTTTGATATCATATGAAGTATGGCTGAAGGTCTTGATGGAAATGATCATTTGTTTTTTTGATGTGATTTCTGTTTTGATTGAGGCAAGTTTCAAATCTATTGTCATGCCTGCACCACTTGGGAATGCTGTGTTAATAGAGGTAACATACAGGTTTGTGGCTTGAATCATTAGCAGGTGTGTGTGTGTGTGTGTGCGTATGTGTGTTCACAGAGAATCTGTATCAGATGTTTTGATTCTTCTTTTAGTGGAGAATTTGTTGTAACATCTTCTGGAGGAGACTTTGTGGCTGATATGGACTTTATTCTTTATGGTCCCCAAAATGAATCCTTTTGGATGATTTACTCTGCTGTGTTTAGATTTAGAAGTCTGCAGAGAGGTGAATAGGCAGGTTTTGCATTTTTGGTGGTTCTTCATCAATGGTGTCTACAAACTTTTTCATGAAAGTATTCTGTTAGAAAGTAATTTGAAAGCAGAATGTACATTTTACACCATATATTTAGTGGTCTACTTTCCTAAACCACAGACCTTTAAAAATGTTTCCCTCTTAACAAACACCAGTATTTCAGTTATGAAATGTAACAACTACACAACGGAAATTAACCTTTCCCCAAAAGCAGTTCGGCTTTTAGAAGTATCACAAGCCAGACCATCATCCAGCTGATCTAACTGCCACTCAGCAGAGTCAGCTTTCTTCTCCTTCTCTGGCTCCTCCTCTTGTTTCTGTCCTTCCTATTTGTGGGTAGCTTTTCAAACAATAACACAAAGCTGTTGAACTTCTAATGAGAAAAGATGCCAACGCATCTTTTATTCTAATTACCCAAGTGGTACTTATACCTAATAAGTGCGTTCCAGAATCGAATGCTTACGATCAGGAAAGGAGGAGTGAGTGGATACAGAGACTGTTTTCCACCTCATGGGTTAGAATCGGCATCTGAAAATAGATGAACAAAACTCACCTACGTGATCTCAGGGTTTCAGAATTTCCCCACTACTTTATTCTCTTAACTGGATAAGAGCAGATCATGCTACACAACGCGTTGTTTGATAATTATGCCTGTTAGAAATGTGGGTCTCGGGGCTGGGGATTTAGCTCAGCGGCAAAGCGCCTGCCTCGCAAGCGCAAGGTCGTGAGTTCGGTTCCCGGTACCGGAGAAAAACCAAAAAAAAAAGAAATGTGGGTCTCAGCTTGGGTAAGTAACTGCAGGTTTCTGAGTCGGGCTTCTTACACCCAGAGTGTTGATGATACATAATGTTATAATGATTGACAGTGATGAATAAATAAGTATAGTAATGGATGTATAATTTCTGCCATGATTGCAGTCTGGTAACTTGTCTGGTCCCCACCGGCCACATGTGGCTGATGAAGTTGTGAAAGCTGGGTAAGACAACTGGGGGGCTGAAATGTTTATCTGGATTTCTTTTCACCAAGTTTTAATTTGCATAGCCACACAGACCTAGCCGCTGCCACGGTGGAGTTACATCACAGTTACATCACAGTTACATCAGGTGTCTACCACAGAGCCTACTGTATAATGGGTGTGCAGCATTTCCTGCCAAGATGGCTGCTGTTCTTATTGTTCTAATATATTGGTCCTAAGAGTCTTTTCCAGAATGTGGTTATTTCTGATGGATACAGCAAGCTTCTTGGGGCTTAAAGGAGTCTATAAACTGGAGACCTAATAGAGGGAGTCAGGGGAGGAAGGGGACTCTATCTCTGGCCTCAGAGGCCCAAGGAGAGGGTTACTGGCAATGTCAGAAAGATATCTCAGCAGAGAAGCCCTGACTTGGTGGTGTCTAAGCTGCATATCTAGTCTCTGTCCCTACATATAGCACCTTTTGTATTCCACAAATTTTTTTTTAGATAAGCAAAAGGATTAGGAAGATTGTGGAATATGTATCTGAGTTTAGATTCTTATTAAAATCCTCACTGATAGTGTATTTGCACATTTAGGATCTTGTTAATGTTTAGTCATGGAGGTCCATTTTACTCTGTATGAAGAGGTGAGATGGAAGCTTTGGACCTACTCATCAAACTCACAGCCAGTCACTTCTTTGTCATACACGTACAGCTCTGTGTATCCGTAGAGGAAAAGCGTGAATGTAGATCTGGGCTCGTTCCCTTACACCGGCACGGAAAGAAGGCTGCTTCGAAAGGTCACCTTCATCCACTATCCTGTGTAGGTGGCTTGTCGTTCCTGCGCTGTGGTAAGGCACTTATTTCTTGGACAATGCTTATACTTCAGCCGTGTTCATGCAAACATACTTTTGGACGTAAACCATGCCCTTGCATCCCCATTCCCACCCCGTGTCAGGCAGGATTCCTGAATGTGGAGGAAGAAGCTCAGCGTGGATGTAATGAATGCCCCATCACCAGGCGGCCGGTGCTTATTTCATGCTACCTCGTAGCTCCATCTACAACTCACCTTAGAGAAAGGGTCTTCCTCTGATCTGAGTGTTGCTGGAGTGTGCTTCCCATCGAGGGAGGTCAAGGAAAGAAGAACCGCAGCCCAGCCTGTGTTTGGAAGCCCCATCTTCTCTTCTCCACTGCGGCCGGCTCCCTTAAGCATTAAACAGCAGTATTCTAATATCAACGTCCCTTTTTTATTTGCTGTGACTTGCTGTGACTACGGTGATTTTAGTTACAGTAATTAGGTCACCCTTCATGGAGTCAGGCTATTTTAAGTGCCTCTTTAAGGAATATTGTTGCAGATCAGTAATTTTACAATTGGATGTTCTTGTGCAACTTTATTAAATGTAATCTGTCTTTTAAATGTTGCCCTTTTACAGTTATACATTTCTAATTGTTGCTGTAAATGCATTATCACTTTGAAATTAATTAATTTTTCCATTTTGGCCGCCTGCAGTATAATAATCACTAATGAGAAACTCGTAGGGATTAATTCTCAGCACGGCGACCCCTTCTGACTAAGCCGCGTCTCTGCACCCCTCTCCCAGAGATCCAGAGGCTAGGACGATGTACTGGGCGATCTCGGGGGAAGAAATGCTTATTCCCTCTCCCTCTAATTTATAATGAAATGGAAATAATGGATTAAAATGGAAATAGGGTTATTTTGAAATGTGGTTCCAAAAAAAAACGCAAGATTCTTCAAAAGCAGCTGCCTCTGAACATCTTAAAGGAAATTAAGGTTTTTGGACAGCTTTCTCTTTTGTTTCCTTGCCTGTCTCTCTAGCATCTTTTATGCAGTTACAATACTCAAAAATTATATCTTACATGCGTATGTGTTCACATGTATTAGTTTATATAGATTATTTTTATATGCATATGACTACACAGTGTTTAATTCACAAAACCTGACATATGGGATGACCTGGTGACCTAAGAGACTTTCAGGAGGAATTCTGACTGTCTCAGGTATTGCATGTGTGATGATTTTGGAATCCTACCATGCCCTCCCCCTTACGAAACACTTTAAGCCAGATAGCACGGTGTTTTACATGTCAGAGTCTATGTTACCGCTTATTCCTTCTAGCAGTTCTGCAGTACTAGATTATTATTGTTACTTTTGCAGTTGGAAAGCACAGAGAGCTTACCCGGCTTGTTCAAGAAAATTGAATTCCAGCCTTCAAAACCTTCGCCAATTACTCCCAGGTCCATTTACTGTGTCAAATCCACCACAGTGCCCCTGCCATATGTATCTAATTGTGCAGTTAAGTTTCCTTAACATGTTTGACAGCACCTTCATGAAATCCGCCCCCGTCTTTTTCCACATAAACTTTGAGTTCTGGTAAACAACATCTTTGCCAGAGGCCCTGGGTCCAGGCCGGTGCTGTGTGGATCGGCATGTAAATGTGAAGCTGAGCCCCGTCACGTGCCTCTTAGGGTGTTTTGTGCAACCAAATATTTGTGTTGGCAGGTAACACTAGAAAGCATATCATGTGTTAGGGTAGCAAGGGCTTAGCAGATGTTTTAGGGAACTGCATTTTCAAATCATTTTACATTAAAAAGAAAAGGCTGGAGTTTGTCGAACTTCTGAAACGATTGGGTTTCGTTTCCTGTGGATGTAAAGCCAGTCATTGTGCTGAGTTTTAACAGATGTGCAGCTACCCGGCTAATGGATGGACCTGCATTGCTAGTTCTGTTGCACAGTTATAAATTATAACTAGAAAAAGCCTGAGATGTCATTCTTGTAACCTTCGGGAAAGCCGAGCTGGGTAATTCTGCCCTTGAATAACCTGCAGCAGGGTGATTTATAGTCACACAATTTAAAACATAATGAATGAGATAATAGATGTTGATTTGTTCTTTAGATTAGTATTTTAGAAAAACACTTCTCCCCCTTACCCACTTTATGTACCTGCTGCTGACTACACTGTAGATTCCATCAAGGACAAACCTCTGTGTGGATCTTTATTGGTGCATGGGTATCATGCACAAGGCAGGGAGCGTAGTCTTTTTAAATGCTGGGAGAAGGAAATGCAATCTGGAAAGTGGAAATTTCAGCACATTCTTCACTCTAAATCTTCTGCGACTCCTGAGTGAGGGTAGAATTCTCAGGCTACGTGGCTGTTGCCTGTCCAGGTTTGTTAGCAGAGTGGACTCTCAGGACCCCTCTGTGGCCGGGCCATATGTGAGCTGTTCCGCAGCAGCTCCTGGGGTGGCGGGGCCCCCCTTCTCCCACTGAGGGCACCATCCCACACAGCCTCCAGTGTCATCAGCACTGGCTTTATTAGTCATCTCTCAGTTCTAAACATAGGTGGAAAGTTTATAGTGCTTGCTTAGTCCCAAGGCTAATGG